AACAGTGGAAATTACATAAAGGCGTATGGCAAAGGAGAGGGAAAAATAACAAATGATTTTGCTTCAGGTCTCATCGAGAGGTGATTTTGAGCAGGGTAAAAATTGACCCCCTTGTATCTTTTTTTACCTATAAACTTTTACTTATATGTCCGATTATGCCTGCTATACTACTATTATTGTTATACACTGCGGGACCGTCAACTTATAAATGACTTTTTCAACCTTATGAACTGGGCAAACTTGGTGACATTAAGAATGTAAAATTCCATTCCGAATCAACTGACCGGTCTATGAGTTTTTATAAAATGAGAAGATAGTTAATTAGACAAATAATTTCAAGGAAAAGGTTTTGATTAGTTTAACGTAACTACCGAAATGTTCCCTAATGTTCTTACAACTTAGAATGTAAATCAATTTTACAATTATGTTAACTTTATGTTATTTTGTTTTTAGTACTACTAGGTGGTCTTCTCACACAACTAGAGACTTTCAGTACAATTTTAAACCCGGTAAACTTAATTAATATTGTATAAAAATTGGCCGCCCTGTATCTTGTAAGTCTTCACATGTATGTTATATATTTTTTGTTCATTGGCGAAAAAACATCTTACCTCCTTGCTGCGTATGGTAGTCGACAAACTCCTAAATATTGAATACAACGTTTCTGTACAGTTAGCACCCACTAATTATTGTTTGAAGTATAACCTTCTTTATACAAAGGTTAATCCACACACGTGCTATTAATAGCCGCGGGCTTTAATCCTTAATACTGCAGTAGGGCTATTTGGGCTATTTTCATAATTATCGGGGCTAATATATGTTATATAAAAAAACACCCATTTTTTTTTCTTTTCCTTATGACGCCCACACCCACCTAACCCCACACTCCCCGCGGAACACAAAAAGTGAGCCGAGGAGGGCAAAAACGGTCATAATCACCAAATCCTTCTCCCCTTCAAAAAAGTGGTTAGGTCCGCGAGGGGATTGAGTACGGACCGACACCTGCATTTCCACCACCGCCCGGCACCTTCGGTCCTGTCATTTGTTTGTACAGCAGCCATCAATACCTGATAAGTTTCAAAAGTCTCAATCTATCAAGCGCGAAACGATAAACATAATTGTTTACGTTACGTCTTCAAGGTGCTCCTCCCTTTTTCCGTTGCTCGATATTAATAAAGTTGGACTAATAATCAGTGTGGACTTTTGTAGCCGGTAGGCGATGCTAACCACACAATTTTCCGCATGCTTCTGCGGACGCGAACGATTTTAATCGCCGCTAGGTTTCGGTCGACGTTTCCGTGGCCCCGAAAATGGATAGCTGCTCCGGAAAACTTTTTCCCGTTTCTTCAAACGGGTTTTGCGGTAATTACCCGTCCACTTAGACCGTATGAAGGTTCATCTGCATGCAAACGGTGTGCAGAGTCAAAACCCTTAAAGTACACCCTGTAGCGAGTAAAACTCTAACACAGAAAATACCTCCCCAAAACACCTCGTTGGTGAAACGTCATCATCCATTTGATTCTTCCGGGTACGTGCTTACTTGTTTTCAGTTACAACAAAAGTCTTCCATCATCTGTGGGGTTTTTTTGTACTGGAACAAGCAGAAGTGAGCTTGTGTTTAATGCAGACGTACCTGGTGTCCACACATTAGACTCTGAGCTGCCATCATGATGGACTTCATCCCGGAGGCACACACTTTGTTGATGGTTGTTGCTGGAGTGCCGAGGGTCAAGCCTGAAGATTCAAAACACATTTAAATTAGCAAAAAAAAACTAAATAAAAACAGATCCGAATAAAATGATTTTACCCCACCCTAAGTTATGATTTTGTTTGCAAGTCTGGCTCAGGAGAGTTATTTAATTAACAATGGTATTCTGTTATTTCAAGGGTACCTGCCGTGTGTGATAAAAACTCTTAGTCAAATCTAAGCTGCTTCAGATAAACCCTGTGTCACATTGAAGCTGTCAAATCTTGTAGTTGCGGTTATGCATGTATGATGTGTGGCACTCAGCTGGTTTCATGCACATCAATATTTTGGTGCAATGCCGATATTGGGAATGAGGGTGAACATATAGCAGTGTGGTCATACAGTACCTGCTCCCAGCAAGGCCTGTCTGGTGGGGGCCTGTCCTTCTCCCGCCTGAAGCACGTTGCCCATGTACACTTCCTTCACCTCCTCAGGAGCGATTCCTAAACACAAGAACACTCATTAGAGATGAGACCGACCATTATTTTTAATTATGGGTATAAATTAGGGCTGTCCCGAATACCATTTTTCGGGCTCCGGATATTCGGTAGTAATCAGCAGCGAATATTCGAATATTCGTTGCGGAGAGATTTGTCCCGTTGCCGGTATTTCACTCATTCGAAGTCGGATTATTATTGAACCACACGTAGGGGTGCGTAAGGGGGTTCGGTAGTTTGTAAGGAGTTGTTATGTCCGTCTTGATCGTCAATGGGTTTGTTCTCCTGGGTAAATCAAAAATACAAACGCTCATGACTCTGTTATTTATTTTATACTTTTAGCATTATCATACGAGAAAAGACGCGAAGACCGAATTGTCGCACAAACAGTCCACAGAGCCTAAGCCTCGGACAATAACTTTTGGAAAAAACTTTTTTTTACAAAATAT